TCTTCCCCGTTGGGGTGCGACGGGCTGGGCGGCTTGAGCCTCGAGCCGCTCGAGCCGCTTGCGAAGCACTCGCAGCTCCTCGGCCGAGTCCACGGGAGCGGGAGGCGCGGCTGGGGCCCCGTCGGTGCCCCCGCCAGCCCCCGAGGGGGGGGGCTCCGGCCCAGAGCCAATTTTTGCCTCTGCGGGCCGTACGTCTTGGTCAGCGTCGGAAGCGCGCTTTGGCGCGGATTTGCCCATATCGTTGGGCGCACGGAGGGAAGGAGAGGTGGGCTCCTGCCCGAGAAGGTCGCGGGACCTGCGCAGAGCTCGCTCTGCGTGATGGCGCTCGAGCTTGGGCGTGCACGCAAGGGGTCACGCGCAAGCAAGAGTGTGTGAGTGAGTATTCTTGATACGAAACCACGGCGACACACACCAGTCGACTCGCATCGGTTGCCTCCATGAACGCCGGAGCTATTCTCGCGTCCACACCACACCTGGCTCCAACATGGACACGCCCATAGCTGGGGACACTACTAGGTCACGCATGGCATCACACACACACACACACACACACACACACACACACACACACACACACACACACACACAACATGCACACACACACACACACACACACAACACGGTAAATCTTTTTTTTTACTCCGTACTCACCCAGAACGCTATCTCACTGATCGGCGTATGTACATGTGGGCGCTCCTCGAGGTGCTGCTAGCGGCGACCGCCGTGGACTCGGTGCCCGTGGCTTCACCAGCTGGGCATCTCGGCAGCGGCGCCGTCGGCAGCGTGACTTCACCAGCTGAGCATCTCGGCAGCGGCGCCGTCGGCATCGTTTTCCGCACACCACTTCAATCGGATGCGGCCACAAACACCACTTCAACCAGATGCGGCGTGGCAATCGGCCAAGATGCTCGCGGCAGCATACGTCTTGCCGGGCGCCGGGACTTCTCGATGAGCAACTTTCCAGCGGAAACGCTAGCGCAGATTGAACACTACATGTCGCGTGTCGTTGGCGGTGCCTGTGAGAAGAACGAGACAAAAGCCACTGGAAAAGCCACTGTCTGTCGGCAGAACGAGACAAAAGCCATTGGAAAAGCCACTGACATCTTCGGAGGTGGCGGGCTGAAACACGATCTAGGCCCCCCATGGAACCTTGCTGGCTGGAGCGGAAAATCGTGGGGCATCTCGATCGTAGCGGCCATGCAGCTGATTGCCGAGGCGCGCCTCCAGCCGTTGCAGATCCCGCTTTCCGAAGTGTGCCAAAAGGGCATGGCGAATCGTGATCACATGTGGCGATTCACCGCCGCGCCGGAGAGCGGCCAGGTCAACCTGCGGGTCGATGCGACGCAGATTGAGACGACGTGTGGCGTCAAGCTCACCGAAAGCCGATGCGGCCACCTGTGCCTCGACGCGCCCGTCATCGTGGTGAAGACGACTCAGAACCCGTGCCAAGCCCGCTACCGCGTTATCGACGGCGCCCACCGGCTGTGTGTGCTGGTGGCGACAATGCTCGCTGGCGCGGGGACGAACACGGATCGCAGCGGCCGCCAGGTGCACCTCGGCAGTGTCGGCTACGCCGTCCCGACAGTGCCCGCCTTTGTCCTCAGCGAAGCGGATGTCATGGAGGGCAATTATAACCTCCTGCGCTGGGACGTCTGCCACAAAGATGCTCCTTCCGATGCTGCACAGCATCACGACAAAAAGCTCGACCAGGAGTACCGGCGCGAGCATGCAGATGTACCAAGCATCCACGAGGTGTACCCGGCGCATCCGAAACTAGGATGGTCCCAGGACGAGCGGCTGTGCCGCGCAATAAAGAAGGTGAGGGACGAGCAGGGCGATCTGAGCAACATCAAAAGGCAAATGGATGTGATTAAAGCCCTCGAGGAGGAGAAGGTGAAGCTCTGCAAGGAGGAGGAGAGGCTCAGCCACGAAACTGAGAAGCTCAGCCAGAGGGTGAACGCGACGGAGACCCGGGGGGAGAAGACGATGGACCTAGGCGTGGGGGCCGCGGGGGGTAGCCGGTTGAGGCAAGGGGAGCAACACGATCTGAGCATGATCAAGCAGCTCGGCGAGAGGCTTAGCAAGATTACCCAGAAGCAGAGGGGGCTCCTGCATCAGATGCTCGAGAAGCTCAGCAAGAAGCAAGTTCCGCGAAAATAAGAAGCTCGGCCAGAGGGCGAAGGGGTCATGAATAAGATGACGATGGAGAAAGGGGGCGGCGAAGGGCTCAGAGCTCGGCCGCTGCCTATAGAGAGCTATAGTGCCTAGCCTGTATCGGTTCGGTGGCGTTGAGGGTGTGGCTTCTCCTCTCTTAATGTTAGTCACTCGACTGCGCCGAGGCGGGTGGGGGGGACGTCCGAACCACAGCGTGTCCCGGTCCAACTGCCAACTCCATATGGCTAGTGCCAGCTCACTGTGGCACAAACAAAACTCTCTCTGTGGCACAGCCCGCGTTACAAAACCTTGATTTTGACCATTGCGCGAAAAAGGTACATCTCGGTGCCTTCCAGAGGCACCCTCTCTCTCTTTCTTTGTTTCCTTTTTTATCTTTTTTTTTTCCTTTTTTTCTTTCTTTCCTCTTCATTCTTTTTTTCTTTTCTCTTTCTTTCTGTTTTTTTTTTCTGTTCTATGCTCTTTCCTCTTATCTCTTGCTCTTCCTTTCTTCTCTTTCTCTTTTTTACTCTTCTATTATTTCCTTTTGTCTTTTCCTTTTTCATCTTCATCTTTGCTTATTTATGTTTTTTTTCCACTCTCT